CGCCTCAGCACCCTCCCAGGGAAGAGCTTCTGCCTCAGAGCTCATCTCAGTCTCCCCTCTGGCAGGTTAAAGCCATTCCCCTTGTCCTGTCCCTGCAGGCCCTTGTCCAAAGCCCCTCTCCAGGTTTCCTGGAGCCCCTTAGAGCAGCTCCAGTGCCTAAAGTTCTCCCCTTCAGGAGCCTTCTCTTCTCCAGCTGCCCCAGCCCAGCTCTCTCAGCCTGGATCCAGAGCAGAGCTGCGTCAGCCCTTGCAGCAGCTCCGGGGCCTCCTCTGGACTTGCTCCAACAGCTCCACATCCCTCCTGTGTTACTGCCCCAGAGCTGAACACAGTACTCCAGGTGTGGTCTCACAAGAGCAGAGGGGGAGCATGCCCTCCCTCGACCTGCTTAATTCTTTGCTTCCATTAAATAACAGCACTTTTGAAACGTGTACGTCAAAATTACCTCCCCTGGCTCACAGCAAAGCTCAGCCCCCCTTACCCTCGCTGTTGGCATACTTGAGCCGGTCCTGCATGGGGCTTTGCACAGATCTCCTCGGGGGACGGATCCGGGAGGTGGATGACCTGTTGTAATCTGCACTGGAGGAAGGGGACTGACACCGGGGTGAACTGAGCGGAGACGGTGAGTATCTGTGCGTGCTGCGGTACGACAGGGAGCAGTCGTAGTCATCCTCATCCTCCAGGCTGTACGTGTCGAACTCCTGGTCGCTGTAGGTCCCTCTGCGCAGGGAGTGAAGGGAGGCGCTGGAGCTGCGCCGGGACACGGACGCGGAGCTGGAGGCACAGTCCTGGCGGAGGCCTGGACACACAAACAACCTGGATCAGAGGCAGGCTTTAAATAGGAATCCCTCACCCAGATGAAACACAAGTTCAGAAGCAACTATTTTATCAGTGATTTCACCTTGGGAGGAGAGTCAAGTTAAGAACTCGTTTCACTGAAGACACTTCCAGCTTATGGAACATCTAAAGTGGAACAGTGTCACCCAGATCAGCACTGTTAATAGAGCTAACACTCAAATTGACCTGAATTATTCCCTATGCCACAGACACAAGCAGCTGAGATCTGGACTAGATACTGCCACACAAGCTCTGTGAGGTCAACTAGCTGGAGGAGACTAATTCACAATATGAATGTTTTAGTTCAATTAATTATGCACCCACCAACATTTCAACTGGTTGAAACAAAGATCTGACTTCTGTGACCAAGGGAAAACACAGCTGATTCTTACTGACATCTCCAGTGCACCCATGTGGTGTATTTACAGGTCCTCCCCCAACTTACACCTTTAGTTCATCTTCTTGCCTAACAAAATACGAGCAATTCCTACCAAGAACTAATACAGCAAACTGGCAGGAAGGACTTTGGAGACAGGCATCACTTAAAGGTCTGAAAAAGCCTCTGTCCAGTGCAGGGATTAAGTGAAGCAAGTGTTGCCCACTCCTCTGCCTTCACAAGGCAATACGAGAAGCTTCCATCATGCCAAGGATGAAGCACTTTTCATACTGCATTGGAAACTTTGTAACGTGACAGGATTTTTATCACAAAGTATACGAAAATCTTCAAGTTTAGAAAGAAAAAGGCTGTTATTTTCTTTATTCACTTTAATACAACTTCTCAGCTGCAATAAAGCGATAAAAGATCTTGTGTCTTTTGCCCTCTTTGATCTCGTATCAATCAGTTCTTATCAGTCAGTTCTCATATCTATCAGTTCTTAGATCATAGTGCTTTTTAAATGGGTAAAGGCACGGATCTCAAGTCAGTGAGTGTTCTCCAAACCAGAGAACTTCATTCTCCATTTCCTGTAAATCAAATTAAGGATTCATCTGCACAGAAAAACAGATCCAACCACTTTGTTCCACCTTCAACTAAGACCTCATCCAAATCCCACTCAAGTCAACTGAAAGTTTACCAACAATTTAATGGAAATTGGATCCAGGCCTCAAAATCGCCCCACTGGGACACAAACTTGTTTCATGTTTAAGTTAAATCCACCGAGCTGCTTCTGAATGGTTTACGAGAGCAAAACTTGAACTGTAACTCCAGCTCTTCCAGGTTTAGCACTCCTGAACTCCTGCGTTTACTCAGCACTGCAGTGAAACTGTACCTGCATCTTCTGTGCCATAACCAACTTGTAAACCCCAGCCCTGCCGACAGCTGCTAACGGGGACCCAGGCTGCAGCCACTGCTCAGGAAAACACGTTTACAAGGACAAAAATTGCTGGGTTATTATTTCAGCTGCATCAGTTCCCCAAAGCAATCCACAGGGAATGTCCTGCTTGTGTTTGCTCAAGTGAGGGGGGCGCAACCAGGCGGGAACCGTGAGCTGCTGCTGTTTGAACTGCCACGACAACGGAACAGTCCCATGAAACTACACCTGTACTTCGGAGCCAACGTGGGATGGAGGAGTTCCGAGTCGTAAAGAGTGTTTATGTATTTCACAGTGGGGTTTGGGATAGCACTTTCAACACTATCCTCTGCTTTAAGAGGTGTGATCTTGAGAATGTTCTACAACTGCTAAGTTTGAGTGGCAGTTTGGGCCTGTACCATCTTAAAGGAAGCCCCTGCAAATCGCAAACACTTCAAATGATTTTTTAAGTTATTCTTTTGTTGTTGGGGAAAGCGAAGAGAACTCCAGTTGGAATCCACCCATGCACCTCCACAGTGCTAAAACTACAACACAAAGGAGACGGCCATCACGTACTTTCTTCCTGAAGGCGTGCCATGACCTGGACATCAGTCAAGTCCTGCAGTTTATATCCCATAGAGATGGAGTCATCAGATGTACTCAGCTCGCTGTCCACGGACGACTGGGAGCTCAGTGCAGAGTGCATGCTCAGATAGCCTTCAGGGGGGAAGAGGAACACAAAAAGCATTCAGACATCCACATCCAAACCAAGAACGAGCAGCAGAGCAGGTATTCTGGTAATAAAACCAGTGCAGTTGTGAAGTTGAGGGATGGTCTCTAGAAATAATTAAGTACTTAGAAATAACTGAAAGCACAACACTCAGTGTGTTAACCTGCAGTTCTCAGGAGGCAGAGTTGTGTCTGTGCAGGGAACAAGCTGTGGAGAAGGTAATTTTTTGCTTAGAAACATTCGAGTATCAGTATTATTTCTCCCTATTTTGAGAAAGGGGCAACTACTGATCTAGATACATATTTGCATAAAAAAACCCAAACCAACCAACCCAAACCCCACACAACAGAAAAACACCCCCAGAAAACGACTAGAGAAATTTCTGGGTGTACAGAAGGCTCAGTGATGTGAAACCTCTACATGGCAAATGTGCCCATCTATGCCACATGCTCCCACCATAACTAACCCTTCAACACAGACACATCAGACCATGTAACTCACAGAGCTATTTTAGGAGAAAACACATCATTACCTTAAATTAATTCCAAGAGAAGGTTGCAGTTAGTACTATACAGATTTAGACCCTACACTCTGACAGCAGATCGGATGATGCAGGTAGATACGCAAGAGCCTGAGAGCACTTAACATCACTTTCAGCTACAGTAGTCAGGGATTTGAGATCATCCCTTAAACAAAAAGCAACGAGCAGGCTGAGGCACACCAGCAGACACAGCCTGAGTGGAAGCCAGTCTCCCAGAGCACCCATGGGATACCATTCACCACCAACTTCAGCTTCAGGCCTAGCCTGCCATGTTCCGAGGAGTCTTCAAGGCAGCACATTGACCGAGTAATTCTCAACAAGGATGTCAGCAATACAACATTCTGCCTGCTCTCAGCAAAACACCTAAAAGCCTTTGCTGAGCAGCCCTTTTGAACGATGGTCAATTCCAGGCAGGCGGGAAAAAGCAGCAGTTTCCCAACGTTATTTCTTCAACCAGTTTTGAAGAGCAGTAACCGATGAAAAGACACATTTGAAGTCCAGCTGTAGAATACATTGAGCAAACTGCTTTGTGCCAGTGAGGCTCCAACTCCTCATCTGCACAGGTGAAGTTCTTCCAGCTTCAAGATGTGACACGATACCACGAGAGAAGTGTGACTGTAGTGTAGGAAGTATGTCTGTGCATGTGTGTGCTGCACAAACACACGCTCCAAGTCAAGACCCTCCAGTATTATAACTGTACAACACAATCCTGGTTTTCCTTCTGGGGTCAGGAAAAGACATTGGAGGCAACATGAGGGTAGGGACTGCACCTGTGCGATGCAGGATACGGAATAAGCAGTTTCCCACACTAAAAGCTGTATTTTTAATGCAGCTGTATCCTGAATACAGCTGTTTAAGAAGTTCCCGCTCAGCTATATGTGCTTAGTTTGGTTGCTGCATTCCAAACTGCAGGTCTATTTTAAAACAGTCAAGGAAAGAAGGTGGAAAACATTCACGTTCTTCCATCAGTAAAAAGCGCTGTGGCTCAACACTGCAAGATGAACTGACGGTGGTTTTCATCACAGACCTTCACAGCTGGGTTTTGTCTCAGGCTCTGTTCTGTTTCTCAGGGCAGTTACTGTCAAACAGTTTGCATTTCAGGGTAGGGAAGCTCCATTTTTCTCAGAAGTAACATTAGATTTGAGTCACTCAAGTTGCTGGTGAACTTTAAACTCACATTAGCACTTCCTCGAGGGACGAGCCACCACACATGGGAAGTGAACTCTCGTGTATAATCCCACCTGGATGAAGCCTGTTCTATACCTGCCTTTTTATGTGGCACCCATGACAGCTTCTGATTTGCAGGGTGAATGAAGAAGCCCTGGAAGTTCCACAGACACTTTGGTTTTACATATCAGTTACTGTTCCTGTGTGAAAAGGTGGGCAGACATCTAGATTGCCAACCAACCTCATGTTAAAAACAAGAGACTAATTCAGAGACCTTTGCCTGCAAAATCCAGCTTGCAAACCCAGCAGTCCTACGTGCACCCTTGGGTTGCAAGCAGAGATCAGTGCTCATTTCTATTTACAGCAGAAACCCAGCAGCTCTCAAGAGCTCACCTACACCTGTGAAAACATCCATATCAACCCTTTTTTTGGTCCTTCAAAAAGGGGCTTATTTAACAGCAAGTTTCAAGCCGGGACTGTTAAACATGCTTTAAGTTTTTACACATGCAAATTAGGACACAGCAATTTCCAGGAAAATAAACAAACAAAGAAAGAAATCAAGGAAGACTCCTTTGATCAAAAAGCCAAAGGGCAAAGCCTTTGTGCTCGGAAGCTGAGCACAACCTGCATCCAGGACAAACAAGGCTCCTGGAAGAGCCCACATGGACTCCTTAGGCAGCAGCTTTAAATGCAAAGGCAGAACTGAGGCTTAGAAGCTTCATTATCATTCCTACAAATACGGGCTTCCAACAGGAATTGCGTGGAAGTGGCCTCTAAGGTAGGAAATCTTACTCCAAACACAATTATGTCTGACAAAGCTTCTGTTACGCTGTGTTTAGCTGCCCACTTGGCCAATTTAAAAGCTTCTCCTGGAGATTACACCTTTTACCTTAAAGCACAAGGCTTCTTTCTGTTGCCTACATTAATCAGGATTTACAAAGGAAACTCTCAAGCCAGCAAACTGAATCCGAGGACCTTGAACACCTACAGAGGATACCATTATTCAAGAGCAGTATTTTCGTTGCCCCAACAGCTGTTTTCTACCTTAAGTCACTTAAAATTAGTACAATTTATAAATATATAAAGTTATAAAACCAAAAACCATGAAATAACTACAAGGCATTTAGAATGCAAGGAGGTTCTCTCTAATGAATCAGATGAAACCCGGGTCAGTCAGCAAGCAAAATAAAAGGAGAAACCCACAGGAGTGAACTTGCACCTCTTAGTAACTTTTCCCTGTGTCAGTTAGTAAAACTCCTTGCATTTTAAACACTGGAGGTTTGCACTGCTCTACTGACATGCCATACCTGAGCTGCCACAGGTTAGTAGTGCTTTGTTAGTCGATTTGAGATGCCCGGGAGAGTTTAGTGCATTGCTACAGGAGCCTGGCTCTGTATTCAGATTATGGGCGCTTGGTGATGCCAGCGGGCTGCAATACAGGTTTTTCCATCTACTGGCTAGAAGGAAAAATACAAAAAAGCCATCAAGGTTATCGAGTTATTTTGAAAACCAAAGAGCATAAGATAAAGAAAGGCAACAGATCAAACAAGATTCAATACTGTAACAGATGTACTTCAAATGAGACATCTTGACGGTGTCGGTTACCACCGCAGGAAGCGAAGCGGCGCCTGCCTCTTGCTTGTTCTCCCCTTTAACTTGTTCTGTCACTTCTGAAGAATTCCAAGAATAACTGCTGACAAACTGGGCTTTCAGAAGCCACACGCTTCTGAAAGGTTCAGGCTTGGTCTTCAGAGATGGCTGTTTTCATAAGGATCTGTCACTTCTACACCCCATCTTCCTTCTGAAGAACTCCACTGACCCGCATCTCCACGCATCTGTTATTTTGACTTTTTCCTGACGGATTCAAACCAGTGTTACACCACCAGGCTGTGCCTTGGGACTGAACCGAGAGCAAATTAATCCGGAAAACAGCCATTCTGAAACACTCGTTCAGGACACAGACTCACATGTGAGTGAGTGAAACAGTCAAAGTAAGCCAGGCAGCAAAATCAGTGCATCCACGCTTCTGAAGCGGGAAATGAGCACCCAAGGAAAGTCACTTCATCTGTGACCTGTATATTCAAGGGGCTGCTGGATTGCCCATGAGCCTTTACCATTGAGAGAACGGTAGCTAAGAAAATAATGAAGCTTCACTATATAAATAAGTTTTCTTGTTTATTTCCCCCCCAAGGTCACACTATTTGAGTCTGGAGTGAAGGGGTACAAATAAAACCTGAGGTACTTCAGACAGAAAGCAAAGAGTTAACAAAATGAATCTTCATTCAAGTTTTTAAGAGCAGATGGTTTATGAAAGTAAATGAAGCTTGGTCTCAGACTACATTCAGTTATCTCAAATGAGGAATCTCAAGGCTAAACTCAAAATAAGCCTGATCACAAGCCCTGCCAAAACACTGTAAGAATGTAAACTTCAACCCAACAACAACTCAAACCCCAAACAATGAAAAAAGCCACCCAACCCCTCCAACAAAACAGTGGCCTCTCAGACCTAAAATCACTGAGGTCAAATTACTGCCCAAACCGAAGTCAGAATTCTTGCATTCACAGGGAGGACAAAGCCAGTTCAAACGAGGCAGACGACAACTTCTGCACCAAGCTGGGGGCTGCATTTCAGCAGTGAAGAACATCCCTGAACTTCAAACCATTAACTCTGTTGGAAACTGCACTGTTTCAAACACTAACCCCTGCTCTTGTGGTTAGATGTTGGTGAGTGAAACAGACAGATGAGGTTATAACACGTCCTGCTCTGCCAGGCTTTTCAGTGAGGAGTTGTTAGAAGAACACACTAGAACTGGTCACTCTTCAGCTGCAGGACAAATCCCAGCTGCCTACAGAGGAAAGCTGTACGCTACAGAAAGCTGTGCAGTGCAGAACAGGGTTACTTCCCCACTCCAAACCCCTCCGTGGCTTGGCCACCAGCAATTCAGCCCATTTCCCATGCAAACCCAGAGTTCATTTGAAAAGACCTGGTAGGATATCCACCGCATGGATTCCAGGTCATGGACTGCAGAAACAGAACCACCTGCTCCGTTTTGGAATGAAGTGAACTCTGCAGCTATTCTAACAGCTCTTACATCAGTGAAAGGCTAATGTGGTATTGATCCTCTGGTGCTCTGAAAAAGAAAACACACAAACCTACAGCCCCAGAATACTACTGAACAGAAGGCTCTGTAGCATTTCATTTCAGGCAGATCGATTCAGGGCTTTTCCCTCCGTGGTGAAGTAACGCAGCTAAAAGCCACCACAAAGTGCTTGCAGGGAATGATAAAACTGGAATTAAAGCTAGGTTTCCATGTGACTCCATTTCTTCAGCTTACAGATATTACTGGTTTGTGACTGCAAGCTTTGAGCAGCAGACAACTACATTACCCAGGTAATGCTACTAATGGTGAGGTACTGTAAGAACCAGCACTACTAGGAACACTCAACACCACCAGAACTTTTGATATAGAGAAAAAGCTGCAATAAGAATTTTATATGATTCTCTCCCCCATTCCCCTGAAGCATATTATTTCATCTACATATTTTTACACTGAAGATGTTTAGATATTAAAAAAAAATCTCAAGAACCTGCAAACACTAAAATGTATTTTAGAGTTCTGGCTCTGAACATAATCAAAAGCCAGCAGAAAGCAAGGTGGTGGATCTGGCCATTAAATTGAAATGCCACTATTTGCTTCTTAACAAATACACAGAGGTGAAAGACCATACACTTCCGTTTGTTTGGCGTGTTCCTTGCTATCAGCACAGTTTTCTTGCTGTTCACAGACTGATCTCCTACCTTCACAGCCGATGCATGACCAGTGGAACCAAAAGCAGGGAGGTCTCTATACACCACCACACAGAGCTGCACAAACATGCACAAATCTGAGCCAGCGTGTGAAGTGCTGTGTCTGCAGACACTCTGACCACTGCACCCTTCAGGCCTCCTCCGCTTCACCACTTCTCACTGATGTCAAGTACCCAATGGAAACGAGGGACACCTGAGGCAGCAACGCTCCCAGCTCACGTACCTTGGTCGAGCCTGCTCAGCAGCGTCCGACAGGCCACCTCTGTCTCGGGGCTGGGGGTATCCAGCCCCTGCCGGCACCATTTTAAAGGTGAGGCCGTTTTCTGATCCACAGATTTCCTCGGGGATACGTAGAGCCTTTGCAAGGATGGGAAGGAGACAGGGAAAAAATGCCCATTAACTCAAAGCACACAGCCAATGAAGCAGCATTTACTAAAGTGTATCTAACAGGAAGCAATAGAGAAGTTACCCAAATTAAAAACAGGGGAAGATTTAGATTAGACATTAGGCAGAAGCTCTTCCCTGGGAGGGTGCTGAGGCGCTGGCACAGGGTGCCCAGGGAAGCTGTGGCTGCCCCATCCCTGGCAGTGTTCAAGGCCAGGTCCAGTATTTGAGCATGAAATGATGATGAGGAGGGTTTTAAGATTTCAAGGAATGTCTGCACATGCTTCGCTGGCCTCCTACCCTCTTGAGCAATAACTTTTGACACTCCTGCAGTGAGATACATCAAGTCTTTCTGCTCCAGTTACTCATTCTCACACAGGCATCTTGTATTCAATTCCTAAAACACTCCTTTCCCCAACAAAACCAATACAAATCAATGGATATTTCAGTAATTATCCCATGATTTTCTGAAACCCTTCAGGTTTAAAAGACACAGAAACATACTATGGGGCTCCCAGGTGTCTATCCATGTTTGGCCAAGGTAAAACAGACAACTAGGGTATTTAAAATACTGACATCAAAATGTCCACCTCAGCTATCACCCTGCCTCCTGTCCTCACTCCAGTAAGGCTAAGTACAGAAACAATCAATCCCAAAGCCATACTGGTGCAGAAAGCTGTCCTGGACTCCCTCAACCTGGTAATCTGAGAGTGTCAGATTGAGCATCTAAGCCCTGTTTTGAGTTCAGACCTGCTTCTAGCACCCACAGCACCCTCCTGCAGCGAGTCCTGCAATGCCCCGACGTGCAGGGTGAAGAACCACCTCCATCCATTCACCTGCCCTGAAAATGTCACCTGCTATTTACTCTTATATTCCTCTAGTCTGGCTCTTGAGGGGTAGGTACAGGTGAAGGTCATTATTCCCTATTGCCTCTTGGCACGCTACTCATGACTTTATAGATCTTAATAATATCCCTGCCCCTGGCCAGACCCATCTTTTGCAGTCTCTTCAGTCACGTCTCTCGCAGAAGCTTTTTTATACCAGGTTTTACAGGCAAATACCAAAATCCAGAGGCTAATTTGCTATTGACAAAATAAATGCTGAGAAACACGAACACAATTATTCCTGCAGCTGCAATATCCCCACGAGCACATCTTGCTGTGCTCCTGCACGGGTAAGTGAGCATTGCAGCCACTCAGATCCAATAAACCAGAGAGAGCCAAGTGCTCTCTCTCTGGATTTATTTTACAGTTCAGACAAAAAAAGCAGCAATAAAACCATCAAACAAAAAAGAGGCCAATGGCCTCCTTAGGGCAGGTCACGCTGTTCTTCATGTACTTTAGGTTAAGGGAGGAAATCCTGCTGTAGTCCAGGAAGTAGTAGTTCTACCCAGCTCCTTCCACACCTCTAATCATGTTTCTATGTGACTAGATGGATGGTAACACTTGTTTGATTGCCAGCCTAGTTGAACAAGAGGGGAATTCTGGTTTGATCCCACAGCACCTGGTTTACTGATCTTCCTTTTTAAGCAGCTTTGGGGAAAGCCTCAACATACCAACTTCTCAGGTGCGCTGCATCCGTGTATGCTGTGCTTCTGGTCCTCGAAGGCTGTTTGATTTGTCAGATTAACTTAACCCAATAAGCATTGGTACAAATATGCTCAGGCGGGCCATGCAGCACGCACACAACTGCCAGGTCACCAGTCAGCCAGAGTCCTTTGGGTTTAACAACTACCTCATTCCTCACTGAGCTTTGCCCTGCATTTTGCTCCCTCAACTCAGCAGTTGGGGTGTGAAGCATGTGCTGTTTAAATGCCAAAAGGTAACGCTTTGAATGTTTTCTGTGCTCAAATTGCAAATGACAATTTAGAAGCTATTTGGGTTAGTTACAAAGCCTAATACAAAATTCAGAAAGTAAACATTTGGGCATATATCCTCAATGTGATGCACTGGGGTTTGCTGTGGAACTGATTAAATATAAATGAGGTTTTCTTCAGGTGCTGTGAGGAAACCCTCAGATAAAACATCTTTACTTTCTGCTTATTAATGTTTCGCTTTCCCATATCAAGTATTCTATGAAACGCAGCTCTGGTAAGTGCCAGGTAGTTCCCGTTGTGCAGCAACTGTGACAACTTTCCCAACCTGCACACTGCAAAGAAGAAAGAAGCATCTTCACAATTTAGGACACATCAGATGAGTTCTGAGTGTGCAAGCCTGTACTGCCTGAGTTCAAGATCCTCATCACATAAGATATTTGCCCTACTAAATCTATAGATCGTAAGAGGAGAACTCAGGCTGCAGCAAGCTCTGTAACTAGTGCATCAGGACATTAAACAGAGTAAGATGAACTGCAGTTTTTAAGACGTGTTGGTTTATTACACATCTGCCACAGCACTTGGCACCAGTAGCTACTACAGCACTAGAAGTGAGTGACATACATCAGAGCAAGAAGGAGATGCGAGGTAGCTGAAGATGTTTAGAACAATGTAGGTTTATATGATATACTTCCAGAAAGTGCTCAGAAAGCAGCTAAATTCTTCTGTAAAGGTGTATTTCAAACAGGTAATGCATCCGTTTTCCTTTCCTTTATATATCAGACTTGAGAGAGCTGATTTTCACATTATTTCTCTGCTTTATGTTATAATCACAAAACTAAACACTATTGTTGAACAGAATAGTTCAACAATAATAGTGTTGTGGAACAACAGTGAAACAACCCTATATTATGATAGAAACTAAGGGAAAAGGAGGAAAATCCTGTGGAAAACTCTCCACACAAAGACATTCCAGTATTAGCCCAAGCAGAGGTTTGAGCCTTTCCTAGCTAGAAACTGGAAAATGAGGAATAAAACAATACTGCAAAGCCCCGAGGAGGCGCTGCTTTTCCTGCCTATCTAGTGACTAATCCTGCTCAACAAAATCCCCAAATCTAGGCACTAAGTCCCAGAAGCTCTAAACACACATTAGCTTAAGCTCATGACACAGCCAATAGTCTGTAAGATGATCAAAAGGCACCTTGTGGGACAACTCACGAGCTGCATTATACAAACGCGGTACAAGGCTGCTGAGCAGCGTGTGAAGAGGATTCCCCCCTCTGCTCCGGCAGCAGACACATCCCTGCCCACCCCGCATCCTAAGGGAAGAGCAGGAGCCAACACCTCGAGCATTTCACTAAGAAAGCAGCTGACTATTTCCAGGTAAAAATACCTCTGGCAGGTTTTCATAAGGTGACCAGCCTGAGAAACTGAGACCTGGTGAAGTGCTTTTCATAGAATCAGAGTGGTTCTATGGGACCTCAAAGCTCCTCCAGCTCCAACCCCTGCCCCGGGCAGGGACACCTTCCACTAGAGGAGGTTGCTCCAAGCCCCTGTGTCCAACCTGGCCTTGACCACTGCCAGGGATGGGGCAGCCACAGCTTCTCTGGGCACCCTGTGCCAGCGCCTCAGCACCAATCAATAAACTAAAAGCAGAGAAAATCACAACTTAGTTCTTCTGTGGGGGAGCACCTACGAGTGGCAAACACTGCGGAAGACAAACAAGGTCAGGCTGCTGCAAGCACGGATGGCTTGATCCCTTCTGTGCCTTTCTGCAAACCACTCAGGAGCTGACCTGCACCGAGGTGTAGCTTAAAGGAGCAACCCCTTAAGGGGTGAGCAGCACTCTGAGTCTGAGTGAGGCTGAGCTGTGCTGTGCTGACCCGGCAGCACACACCACCGACTTCCACTTGATCAGCTCTAGGAAATATTTACAATTGTGAACAGCTATTTGAGAAAGGGACCTAAGGAAGCAAGTCAAAGGAGAGCCACCAAGGAGGTAAAGAGTTACAGCTGCAGGGTGGGATGCAGCACCTCACGTTTCAGAGTTCAGTCACTGCAGGGATGTTGTTATAAACACAAACCCTGCTGAAGCCGAGGGAAGCTGCACAGAACCATGTGCAAGTTTGATCCAAATAAACCCAATAATTTCAAAGTAGTGCAGAAACTGAGCCTCTGGCTGTACCTGAAAAACAAACCCTCTGCCCCGCACCTTCGTGCTTCTGCCTTCCCCTCCTGGGGCGATGGGGTTTGCTGTTACCACATCAGCACAAGGGCAGACTGCACCAGAGGCTTCAAACCGACTGAGAAGTTATGGCCCGTAAGAACAATACAACAGAAATCACCCTGAAGTTTGGAGCTGTTCTTAGATCTAGAATGACGCAAAGATCTAAGAACTGAAGCCTCTCTTGTCGAAAGCTTCTCATTTCCCAACACTTTCATACTTTAAAAGAACACAAACTGGATTCTTGGGTGTTCTTTACGGTATAAAGCATCACCCCCTCTAGTAGGTGATATGAAAGACAAGGTCAGCAGACCAAAAGGACCAGGCTGTTAACTGAACAGACAGAAACAATGCAACATGATCAAAGGTTATTCATGATAATAGTACTTGCACAAGTGCTCTGTAATACCACCATTATTTCAGCTCCTTGAGGTGCCTCTGTTTAATATGTTTGCCTATATAAGCCAAATCTGACAAGAAAACAGAGGTATCAACAACAGAAAGATCCTAGTGAGAAGGGCACCTGGTAAAGAACAACCTCATGAGCCACCAGCTAAAGGAAAGGTGAAGACACAGAGCTGCTGGGAGCAGAATCGGTCCTGATGGCACCAACAGCATCCATTGCCCGTGTAATCTCAGATTCCCTCTGGTTCCTTCACCCAATTAATACAATTTGAAGACTCTCTCATAAAAATGAACATAAAACTGGCTGCTTTCATTAACATGGAAATAATGAAGCCTGTCTTCCAAATTCAACTTGTTAAATATATTCCCTTTTAAGAAATCTGCTCCAAATGCTGTTTAGGCATGCTAAGGAGTTTCAGTGATCGAGTCAGAACTGGTATGTAGGTTTTAAAAGAAAGCTTGCAAAGAAAAAAACAACCAACAATCATGTTTTTAATATAACCTAGAATTTAGACTTGAGCTGAGCTCATCACATTAATGAGCTCCACCCCATTAACAAAAGTTTACCTTCACTTACAATGGCTAAAGTTTCAACTCACAGCTACTGCATGAGCTGGAATTAGCCTCACACTTCACCTAGCTTTGGAAGGGCAAAGGAAAATTAATCTGCTGGTTTATAAAACAAGTTCTCAACGAGGCTGGTGAAGCAGAGTCCTAACACAGTAAGTGTGGCTGAGGATTACACCACTGATCTGTTTCAGTTCATGTCTCTAAAGAAAAGAAACAGGTTAACCGTGAAGAAACAGCACTCAAGAAACGGCAATGATGTGTTGTCTTAGATACCAGCAAAAGTCACAAATTCCAGACAGTCTGAGGTCTCACTTTGTGTTTGACAACATTCTCACTTGTAACTAACTATTAAATACTGTATTTACAGTTTAAAAACTCCATTATTCCTTCACCTGTGTGTGTTACACACAAACTGGCAGGGAAGGGTAGTTTTCTGTGCTTGCTACACCAGTGTCAGGAAGAAAGGGGGAAAGACAAAGCCTTACAGTTAAACTGATTAAAGAAATAATAATAAGTCATAATGCTCTAGCAAAATGGTCCTAAAAATAAGACCAATCAGTAAAAGGAACTGCATTCTTGCTGCTAACAATCAAAGCACTGTATAGAAATCACTTCATACCCTTAAAAATCACTGTACAACTCAACACAAACTCCCAGCCATAGCAGGAGTTCCGGGTATCACGGAGGGTTTGAAATACCTACCAACAGTCTTCTTCTTCGTTGCAATTTTCAAGTTCTAACACTTTGACTTCATCCAGATCCGTGTTATTGGACAGACCTTCTGATTCTCCACATTTCTCACTGGGATTTTGTTCATCTGTTTTAACTGAGGAACCAACACCTGCAAGGACCACATTTCCTGTCAGCTCTGTGCTATCACTCGTGGCTGTACGTGAGGAACACCTCATGTCACCATCGCCCTTCACTTCCACCTTACACACGCTGGATGACAATTCCTCAGTGGCACTGCTGCCACTGTGTTGCGTTTGGGCATCTCTCTCTCTTTTGAAGCAGTTGTTGTCTTCTGCCTCTTTCCTTATCTTGCTTAGTTGGCTGTGCAGATCTGCCATGATTTGCAATTCCTGCTTCTCAGTGATGGCATTGATGCTGTTATTGATCTCCATCCCATTAAGACTAGAGCCGTGGTTATCCACACCGGTGTGGAGCTCGCTCTGCACTGTCCCAAGCACGCTCCTGCTGCTCTTGGTCCTGGGGTGCTGGTTCTCCATCTCCAGCCTCCTCACCAGCTCCCGCAGCTTCCGCACCTCCGCCAGCTCCGCACCCACCTCCTGGGGCGCCGGCGCCGTGGCAGGGCCCATGGCTGAGTTCTCCATGGAGTCTCGTCCTAAGGCTGGCTCCAAAGCATGATCCTGCTGTATGACCGGGACATTTCCAGGCACCACCATCATCCAAAACACACAGCGGCACTGCAAGACACGAGAAACATCTAAAAGCTCCATGAAGATGCACCATATTTTTAAGCCAACTGGAATTAAACCCCCAAAATTCTCACTTCTATAAGCATAAACTAATTGGGGTACAAGGACATTTAATCAAAATCTATCGAAAGAGAACAACTGAAATTAGTAGGAAACATTTCAACAAACACAACTTACTCGTTGGAAACAGCGAGGATGTGTGACTTGTGCTACAAAGTGGCTGTATAAGAGGAAGCTGATTTAATCACAGTTTCCATCTGTTTACTAACAAAATATGTGAGAAAAGCACTGCCTGAGCAAAGCCAGGAAACATCATTAGCAGGTGCTGACGTCAGGCAACGACAGCACGAAGAAAATGCTAAAAACATCCTTTGTTCGTTACCAGGTTTATCCTGGAAAAGCAGAAAAAGAACTGGAGAACATTTCTGGATCAACTCACAGCAAAGACTAACGACAGGAACCACAGTTACTGTGGGAGGTGAAAATAAGCATCACTCAGGTCTTAACCGGCATCTTTTCCTGTTACAAGTGCAAAGGGAGAGGCAAGTTCTTCGAGGCCAACACAGCAAAAACAAGAACAAAAAGAAAGATAAATACACCCCACCACAGATTACATATTCCAGTAAGTTTCATAAATCAAAGCCTTCTGTTTGGTTTTTGCATGTTAAGTGCTACTGTTCATCCTGTGGCTATTGACCAGGGTGTAGAGCAGAGCACCATCACTCCGGCAGCTTTACACTGCCCGGGTATCCAGACTTCCCAAAACTCCACATGCATTTAACATCCAGCTTTCCACCACTTAGAAATAAGAAACAAACACTGTTTTTCCCTGCACTAGTGATTTAGATGACTTTTCTATTTCAACATGATTCATTTCTGAACTAGCTCTTCACTGAAAAGCCCCTAATACAAGATTAATGCTCCACAGAGGGAGTAAAATGGATTCCCCCCAAAATGATAAATCCTTTCTATTTTGCAGGAGAGCAAACAGGCTGACAGATAAGGAGGTCAGACACAACCACTTTGAAGTTTAACAGGAGCTCTGACACAGGCATCACGACTGCACTTGGACCCTGGTTTTCTGTGGCTGTAGATGTCCTTCCTCCTCCCTTTTCTGCCTCAAAGTTTCCCTTGTTTTGAAGGTCCAAGTGCCAGCAGGTGAGAGGAAACCACGCAAATTAAGTGTTACACAAAGGACACAAAGCCAGCGAGGTTAAAAATACACCCACACCCCCTCAGCATCTCCCTGTTACTTCAATCACTGGTAACTGCAGCACCTGAGCATCTCTCCTACAAAACACAGTTTTGTTTTGGCTTTTTTAACTTGACAGTTTGTGTTTTTATTTAGGTCCTGTACAGGAAAGATGAAAGTTTCAGGCTCACGTTTGAATTAGTAATGAACACAAACAGCCCTTGTGAAGAGCTGACTGCAGTGCGCTTTGAACACCACTCTCAAAATGACGCCTCTAAGGAGCATCCCTGAAGTCATTTTGACACAGGAATGAGAAATTTTACACGTGGTTCCCAGAAAATCCAATTCCTACTCGTCCGTCCACTTGGAAAACCTCCTCGCACATGCTCTCCCTCCTCTGGGATCGTCCACTCTCTCCACGAGTCACGAAGCCAGGAGGATTTCCAAAGGAGCACGGAGGATTCCCGAAGGCAGTTCAAAGCTCCTGCTCAGGAACTTGCTGAGGATGCACCAGTGGCGAGTTTGAGTTCTACTGTCAAAGCTGAACATCACGGCCCAAGGAGGGAGCAACGAGATCCGTGACCCATCAAATCCCTTCCCCTCTAAGGCTGAGGAGCAGCAAGAGCTGCTTTTTCATTCACAGGGAGGGAATAAACCTTTTAGCTTTTTCCCACGACCAGCAAGTCTAAACCCCACCCGAATAAAGGAGCAGGGATACAGGAGGGGAAATGTGCATCCGAAAAACTTGATTTCATTGTATGAAGGGCTCAAAAGGCGGGGGGAAGAGAAGGGAAGAGGCGGCCCCATCTGAAGCCCTCGCTGTGCCGGAGACAATCATTCGGAGTTTCCCATCAAGACATCCGGGTTTCTAACACGGGTTAACGGGATCCCCTCACCACAGCGGGCAGGATGCGGCCGGCGAGGGGGGAACGGACGCGACTCCACCA